TCCCTTCTGCTCCCATTGGCTGGAATCCAACCAGTGGGAGCAGCAGTAGGCCATGCCTGGAACAGTGCTGAGTGGCACAGGGTGTAAAGTCAAGTAAGTGCCCCTGCAGCCCCTCACACCCAGACCCTACATCCCTGGGCCCCTTATGTATACCCTCCACTGTGACCCCACACGCCCAGCCCATTCTTTCAGAGGGATGTTAAATTTAGATTAATCAAATAGTCAATGGGATTTCCATTGACTATTTGATTGACTATTTGATTAGTCTATAAGGGTGCCTTGGCCTTTGAACTGTAGCAAGAGCCCAGTGGGGTTTTTGTACATTTCAAAAGCAAGCCTGGAAGGGAGCTTTGGACTGGGGGACTCCCTTGCTGGCCCTGCAGGGACCTGAGCCTTTGAAATATTCAAGAGCCCTGATGGGGCTGTTGTACATTTCAAAAGCAGACTTGCATAAGAAGCAGCACAAGCAAAGACTGTTTCAGTCCCCGCTGTGCCTTGCAGAGACAGTGCTGGGGGGGGAACTGGCTTTTAAGACGGCTCCCCCCTTCATATTTCTCTGATAGAGGCAGCAATGGGGAGAGGACTAGTGGCATCACTAGTCAACTAGATGGTAAGTTGCTTATCATAGTTTGACTAGTCTCTTACATCCCTACTCTTACACACTCTCCCCTGCCCAGACACCCCATTCCCAGCCTGCTTGTGCACCTTCATTTACTCCTGAACCTCCCCATTGGCTAGACACCCTATCGACCCCAGCCTGCTCCTACCCCCTAGCCAGACACCTTACTCCCAGCTTGCCCCTGCACCTTACCTCCCACCCCAACCTCATACCATCACCCTCATCCCTACCCACTCACTGGCAGCTCTATCCAACACACTGAATCCCTCATTTTTGGCCCCACTCCAGAGCCTAGGGGGTGGCCACAAAATCCATTAACCCTGGAACCCCAGAAGAGTTAATTGGCCTGAGGCCTTGAACCTCTGTCCTTCCTGCCCCTTCCCCCACCACGGGGCTTGAGCAGGGGAGTGAGGTGTTTCAGTTGGGAGCCACATCAGTGAGGGTTTGGCTTTTGCTTCTCACTTGTGTGGTCCTGGACTGATAATTCTGTGGGTCAGTGGCTCCCAACCCAAAAAAGGTTCCTGACCACTGCCATAAATAAAGATGACAATGTTGAAACCTTTTGCCAGGACTGTGCAGCACTTTAAAGATTAACAAGATGGTTTATTAGGTGGTGAGCTTTCGTGGGGCCAGAGCCACTTCCTCAGATCAAAGTGGGTCTGGCCCACGAAAGCTCATCACCTAAACAAACCATCTTGTTAGTCTTTATGGGTCTGGCCCACGAAAGCTTATCACCTAATAAAACATCTTGTTAGTCTTTAAAATGCTGCATAGTCCTGTCTTTTGTTTCAGCAAATCTTTTGTGTTTGACATTTTACTTTATTTAAAATGAAGTTTGGCCAACAAGGCCCCAACTTGAGCCCAGCCCCCATCTAGCCACAGTGTTCTGTCTCCGTCTGGCCACAGGAAGGGCTAGTGTGTGGGGAGGAGATGAGGCCACAATCTGGCTAGTGATCCTGGCCTGGCCCTTCGTCCAGTCACTGCTGGGTGCAGCAAACCCAGTCCCAGCAGGTAAGATAATCCTGCCCCAGGATGCCCCCTATACATTTCCCACCATCTACAGCTTGACTCCTGCATCTCTCACACCATCCCCTGCCCAGAGCCCCTCATCCACCCCAACCCTGATTTCTGCATCCCCACATCCACAAACTGCACCCGCAGCAGCAGCAGAAGTCCCAATAAATAAAGTCTGTGAGAACAATGTTTCATTTATGCTTAGGGCTCGACAAACCGTGGCGAGATCATCTCACCAGCCCCACACAGCACAGCACCGGTGAACGGGGCGACTGGCTGAAATCTTCTTGCCACGGGCGAGTAGATATAGCGATTTGTCGAGCCCTGTTTATGCTATTAATCATCAAGCCAATAATATTAAGTTGGATATTTTCAGTCATGCAAATGGTCATTTTTATACTGGTTCATTGTTGACCACTTAGTCTGAATTTTGATGTAGTTTGGCTCTTTGGTTTGAAAAGGTTGACAGTCCCTCTTAGAGGTTGCATTATATCCACTTTGAACTATTAAACTTCTTGGCATCAAGAAATAGCCTCTGTAATGAAATTCTGAAGTTAAGTTATTACCTTTTCTAAGCATGGGGCAGCAGTATATTACCCTATCACCTGTACAAAATAAAGGTTAAGCGTTCTCTGGTAAAGAATTCTGCTCTTTAGCATTTTTTGCTGAAAACCAAAGATGAACAGTATGGGTGCATCTAGACTGGCAAGATTTTACGCAAAAGCGCAAAAACTTGCCAGCTGTCTACAATGACCGCTTGAATTTGCACAAGAACGCTGACTTTGTAATGTATAAAATCAGTGTTTCTTGTGCAAATACTTTCATGCTCCTACTCTGATAAGCCCTCTTGCACAAGTATTCTTGCGCAAGAGGGCCAGTGTAGACAGGCACCTTAATTTTTTGCACAAGAAAGTTTGATGGCTAAAATGGCCATCGGAGCTTTCTTGAACAAAAGCGTGTCTAGATTGGCATGGATACTTTTGCGCAAAAGCATCCTTGCCAATCTAGACGCTCTTTTGCAGAAATACTTTTAACGGAAAAACTTTTCAGTTAAAGTATTTCCGCAAAGTCATGCCAGTCTAGACGAAGCCTATAGGTATTGGACTGAGTTTTCTCGGAGTTTAATGTTAAACCAGGACACTCAGCTTTGTTTTCCATGGACTTACACAAGGCATAATCCTTGAAAATAGTATTGAATTTAGTATCACAGATTGAGTATCTGAACATTAAGTTCTCCATGTATTTTAATTTGGGTTAGCAGTTTTAAAATATAATCACCCATAGACTAAACCAAAATGTAAGCTTAATTTTACTGTAGTCTGACAGGTTATGCACTAGTATGTTTATTAGGAAAAGGTACATAGTACAAGAAATTTCACAGAACTCTGTAAGAGACGACACATTTAGACTTAATTTGAATTACTGTAGATAATCAAAAAGTCATACATTCAGAGTAACAATGGTTTAGGAAGGTACAGTGTTACACAATGTCTGTTGCTAGGTTAAAGGGCCAAATTCTGCTCATGCATGCCAGTGATAACACTCTCAAGTCAGGGAAATAGATTTATTCCAAAAAAATATTCCATAAAGCAGTTATAAACAATTGGCAATCTATAGTAATGGTATTTTCATAAAACACTCAAATGACTTCCAAAAAAAGTACATTGGTTTCTTCAGATAAATGCAAATGAGGTTACCCAAATGTGTAACACTAGTGTTCAGAGAATTACATTTGGTATAAAAAAAATTAAAGCTAAGTGAAATTTCAGACAAGCAGAGAACAAGAAATTGCCACAGGCACTTTCTAAAGAATTTTGTTTAACATTAAAAAAAAGTTATATGTGCTTTGCACATATGGACTTCAGGTTTGCTTGCTCTCGGAAGAGTTTTCCCAACTCACTCTGTTAAACTTCAACTGCATAGAAGGTTTCAGATGCATGGAGCAATTAGTGTGTCCCTTAAGAGTTCTTCTGTGGAACTTTGATTGTTACCTAGAAAGAATGTTGATTGTTAGTATGAATCACTTTGTTCCTTTCCCATTACTCCTAAATGTCATACTATTGTTGAAGTATAAATACCACAGAAAACAGAACTGGAAGAGATATTAAGTTGTCTTTGATTACTGATTATTCCTTATGTCTCACTCATCTACACTAGTTTATGTCTGTTGTGGGCCCTCCTCCCAATGAACCTCACATACTGGGCATTGTAGCCTCAAATTCCACCTCCCTCCCAGCACTTTCAGAGTGCCATGAATCTGCTGATTCATGCTATATTCCCACTCCTCCCCCTCCCTTTCACAGCATGAATGTGGTGAATCAGCTATTCAAACTCTGGGAGGCAGACATAGCAGCTGGGGACAGAGTCTAAATCAGCAGATTCATGGAAGGAGTGAGAGGGAGGAGTGGGAAGTGTGGGGCTCCAGTGCCAGTCACTGTTTTAATTAGTCATGTGGTAGGGTTTTACCATGATTTTACATTGTAGTGGAGCTCACTTTCGGTACGTTTCTGGACTTTCAGATTTCCTTGCTTTCAGTATCACATTGATTCAATCTTGATTTGGATGGAAGAGGGCATTTAAATAGTCAGCACTACTTGGAGGTCTCCAATTCCAATAATAAACTACACTCCAGCTATTCAGTGGCTGGTTTATAAGTGGACTACTGACATTCAAGCTTCCAAAAATGCACATGTTCTTCAGAAATGCAGGTTTAAATTCCTTCCCTAAAAGAGGTCAGAACTAGTCCACTCATTCTTTACAATCACAAGGCAAATAAACAGATCCTAAGAGGTTTCTTGAAGATAGTGTTAATTAAGGCAATAAACTAGTAGTTAGGCATTCTAGATCCTAAGTGCTACCCTTGCCTCACTATGAGACTTTGGGTAGGTCACTTTTCCTCACCTCTAAAATTATCTCAGAGGCAAAGGTTAGCTGTCCCACCTCACAGAAGTATGTGAAGTTTATTTACCGTTTGTGAAATACTCTGGCGTTTTTTAATGAAACATGCTAACAAAGTGCCACAAGGCTTGTTATTTTAGAAGCATAACATTCAGAGCTACTACAATTACAATTAAATATTCAAAGAGAAAGGTTTGTGATACTGAAAACTGAGGGCCAACTGCCTTTTTCTGGCAGTCTAGTGTCAAAAGATACAAAACCCATACCTCTGTCCCATATCCTGGGACAAACTCATTGATACTCACCGTTTTCACTTCTGTATATGCCTCCAAGCCATATTCCCCCAATTCTCGCCCATTCCCAGATGCTTTGTACCCACCAAATGGGGCCTGAGCACCAAACACATCGTAACAGTTTACCCTGTAATGAAAACCAAACCTTAGAAACAGTTTGTTGCTCCAAAGTATCTACAATAGCAAGGATTTTCTTGAAAGTCTCCATAATTAAGGAATGAACATTTCCTCAAACTTAGTTACAGCAAGTAGTCTACATCTACCAGGATTCTCTCCCACATACCACTCTTTTGGCCAAGCAGGTTCAGGGGAGACAAAACTTAGTATCCATCAGAGTCAGAGAGGGAGAATGGGAGGTGAGGGAATGTAAGGTACAACAATTATTCCTTTGCTGGTTGTGTACTAACCTCATTCTCTGCTGACCCAGAGAACAAGACAGGGTCAGGAATCCAATTCAGGTATCCTACCTGTGAGCACACCAAGCAACAATTCTCCCTACCTGAAACTTTAAGTACTGACTACCTGCTTCCTCCAGGCCATTTCTGGAAGGGAACACGAGATGCCGGTGTTCCAGAGTTTTCACTAAATTCAGTTTCTGTCTACAGTACAATTCAAGATGTTTATTTAAACCTATATACTAAAAGCCCTGACAACCTTAGACATACCTCTCTTTTTTGTTTTTGTTAGAGAAGAAACAGGCGACTCAGGAGAGGATGGAGTAAACGGGAACCGCTTTATTGCTCACGCATGTTTACCTCGGATGTTCGACACAATGTCCGAGTGGCAACAAATTGGCATTAATCAGACCCTTTTATCTACTTTAGTATGTTAATTTACACACCTATCACTATTTTTCCTAAAACCTTATTTAGTAATGTTAACTCCCATAAAGTGAATATTAATAAGCAAATAATGAATACAATTATACCCATCCTAATTTCTATTTATATAATTTCCAATTGAATCAACATTGTCCTATGCTACAAACTCACAGGTTACAGAGATTACAAGGAATTTAACCCTGAAGATGTGTTATGCAGAGCCAATGAGGACAAGCAAGAGACATAACAAAACAGAGCAACTCCATTGGCTCAAGAATAAAGGCTACAGGAACAAAGAAAGAGCACATTTATACAGCAGAAAGGATAATACTGGGTTTTGACCAGACTCTTAATCTATCTTCCCAAACTACAAAACAAAGAGAAAAAGCTTGTTTAAAGGGTAATGCTATGGCTGACTCCTGAACCACTAATGCAGAGTCATTTCAGACCCTATTGATTTTTATATACCCCAAAAGTATTCTGCTGCAGGAGTCAAGACAGCGCAAAGCTCTCTGTTGAACTAAGAGCTTCTAAATTCCAGTGGTTGAGTCTGGTAGCCAGGAGTTGGCAAGGTTCCCCCACTGCATCTAAGGAACTAATGCTGGAGCCTGTTTATTAGTTCCAAGGCTACCAAGCCTTTTGTCTGTGCCTCAAGGCTCACACATCCGTCTGTACACATTTTGCCAGAGGTAGGCTGGGAACTTTATGAGAGAGTCTGAGATTTTTGATATTTTATGTTTTTACTTTTTTACCTACAGTGAGGTGTACAATAATACACAGTTTATACATTTAATGAAGGAAGCAGCTGGAATGCGAAAGCCACAGATTTTAAAATCTCCATGAAGGATTTAACAACAGAGATCCTGTGTGTAGACTTACCAGACAGTTCCAGCCCGCAATGCCTGGGACACGTAGTTTGCTTTGTCAAGATCTTTTGTGAAAACTGCTGCCGCCAGACCATACTTCGAGTTATTTGCTCTCTCAATGACTTCCTCAATGGTTTTGAACTTCAAGAGCTGCATGACTGGCCCAAATATCTGTGAAATCAAAACAGAGCAGATTAAAAACCATGGTCTAACTTATAGCTCCAACAGAAGTTACTGGCTTGATGCAGAAACTACTAGGTGATGATCACTAGCCTGTATTATGCTGGAAACCAGACTAAATGATCCAATTGGTCCCTTCTAGCCATAAAAAGCTAAATGAAAAACATGTCTGAATGATGGCTTGTCCATTTTTCCTCTGATTCTTGTAAGAGTTAAGAGTTCAGATAACAATCTATGGAATTTTGATACTTGTAGTCCCTAGCAAGGAGGAGGAGGAGGAAGGTAAACCACCACCACCACCACCTGGCAGAAAATTAGAATTACAAAGCAATCATTCTGACCTCCTCTGTAGCAATGGTCATGTTGTCCTGCACATCCCCAAAGATAGTCGGCTGGATGAAATAGCCCCTGTCTGCAGCAGGATTGCCACCACAGAGTAGCTTGGCTCCTTCCTGCTTCCCAGTGCTAATGTAACCAAGGATTTTCTTAAACTGCTCTTCATCTACCTAAAATAAAAAAGAATAGCAATACTGTAATTCCTCATTTAACACTACAGATGCATTTCTGAAAATGTTCGTGCTAAGCGAAAACGTGCTATGTGGGGTCAATTTTCCCGTTAAAAATAATGGAAAAGGAGAAGGTTGCATTTCAGGTGGTGATGGCAAAGTCAATTTTTTGTTGGTGCTGGGTCGTCAATGTCAACATTAGATATCTAGCAACACAAGTTGCCGCGGTTTGTTAAAACACAAAGATAAACGTGAGTGAGCGGAGGAGCGCTGTGACCATGTGATTTCATCCGCTTATGCATATTACCACTGTTTTCGCCAACTTATACTGCTGCTCGAAGTAGTCTGCTACTTGATTATTTTCGTGTTATTTTGGGGACGGTCGTGTTATTTGAAAAATCCTCTCCCACCCCCAAAAAAATTGTGCTATTGCAAAAACATGTTAAGTGGGCACGTGTTAAACGAGTAATTACTGTACGTCAGTTTGATACTCATGGAGGAAGAAAAGGACTCTGCCTATCTTGGTCTACATACACCAGATCTTTACATGGAGTTAGGAAGCAGTTAAGGGAATAACAATGCTGTGTTTAGACAGATTCCTAAACCAAATTGCTGTATCTAATAATTTCAGAGGGAATATTCTGAGGTCAAAGTGATGATCTAAAGCAGTTTATTCATCCCTATTTCATTTAGATAATGGGCAACATTTAGCACAATTTAGGCATGTGACTGCCAATTACCTTCAATTCTAGCCTACTGGTTCATGGATACAGTTCCATGTTTTAAAGCATAATCAAGTAGCATCTTAACAGAAGTAAAACTGAAGCATCATGCTCTCACCTGTGGTCCCTGTTCAGTTTGAAAATCAAATGGGTTTCCAACCACCCTGGACTTGGCTCTCTCAACGCTTCTCTCTATGAATTCATGATATATATCTTCTTGGACGTATGTCCGGGATCCAGCACAACAGCATTGGCCTTGGTTGAAGAACAGGGCAAAGTGGGCTTGCTCAACAGCCCAGTCCACTAGAAAAGAGATGGCAAAAAACTCAACTGATGACTAAGAGGAGAATCTTCCCCATGCCAACAACAAGAACATCAGGACTTAAAAGTTCCTTACATGCAGTCACTTCAATGGAAGGGTATGATGCTCTAGCAAGGTTGTGAATGTGGGTATACATGCTGACAAATTAATTTAAATCAGATTCTACCCAAACTGAAATTAACCAAATTGGAAAAGTTGTTTTGGATCCAGTGAAATTTCCTTCCCCCCTACCATTTGCAGAGTGCTCCAGTTTCTTCCTCCAGTAAGAGGTGCATACAGATACACATACCAATCCACATGGAAGAGGAAATAGGAAAGAGAACTAAGAAAAAAATGCAAGAGGCTAAAAAGAGGCAAGCACAGAAGTGAAGCAAAACATAGTAGAGGAAAGAACGGGAGGAAACACTACTAAATACAGATGATAATGAAACAGAGCCCAGAAGAATCAATGAAGGATGTGAGAGGTCTACAGGAAAACAACTAACAAGTATAATTTGTGGATAAATTAGTTCCCTCCTTGATGTGTATTGTTTTGTGAGGAAATGGTGATACACATAATCAAGGCTCACCGAACCATGGCGAGCCCTGCTCACCAGCCACGCTGTCCGGCAATCTGTGCACGCGCAGATCACCCGAACCCGGCTCTTCCAGGTTTCAATTTACTCGCCACAGGTGAGTAGATTGTATTATTTGTCGAGCCTTGCACATAATGAAGTAACCAAATTGGTGTAAGATACTCCTCCCAAGATGCACTGTGTATGACATTAGCTTGGAGGCATCAACAGTAATCCAGAGAATCCCTTGGTATAAGAGCTTATGAGGGAATAACTCTTAGAACCTTCCAGTCTGTCAAGATTCCCTCTAAGCTGCAAGGTAAAATGCCCCCACTGCTGTATAATGAGCCCTGCCCAGGGAGCTGCCTGGCTGGGGGAGGGGCACTTCTCTCTTAGCTACAGCAGCAGCTCCCTGCTGAGGGCAGAGCAATGAGTTTCTCTCAACCAGTAGGGAGGGGATGTGTCCCAAGTGCTTCTCCCAGCCCCTGGCTGGGCAGGGTTCATTAAACAGCTGCATGGCCAAGCCTACCGCACAGCTTTGAGGGAAACTTGCCGCTCCTACCAAATCCTGGCTGCAAAGTGTCATTTTAAGAGCTACAAATTGTAATATAACACTGAATTGGTTCTTACTATCAGCATCAGACATGATGATATTTGGGCTCTTCCCTCCTAGCTCCAGCGTCACTCTCTTCAGGTTACTCTCTGCTGCAGCCTTCTGGATCCGATGTCCAACCTGTATTAGCAACAGAAGAATCAATAGTAGGAAATAACCACCTCTCAGCCTATTAAACGAAGCCTATTTCCAAAGGTTAACTGATGGAAGTTTCCTGCTGGTTGTGGAAGCCCTAGAAGGTGTGGATAGAGTAATGGAACAAGCCTGCTCTCCATTCAGCCCACAACAGCTGTTCCTGTCACAATGGAGGCAGTGACCTGGCCAAATTTGAGTGCATGGCACTTCAACTCCATTCACTGAAACACCCAGAGTGAGGAACTGTGCCCAGTCCTGTGGGACAGGAGCTATCACTGCAGGGCTGGGTCATTCCAAACCAAACACCCACCACTCCCTTTCCCCACCACAGGGTCTTCCTGCCAATCTGGGATTAGCATTGTGGTGCCAGCACATAAGCTGCTGCTAGAGGAGATCAGAGCATCCTTAGTGATGCAATAAGGTGATGGCAGTGGAGGATATCACTGGCCTATGATTTGCCCCCAAAATTTGGACCTTTGGTGGGTCACCTTATAAAAAAGTTTATGAACCACTATACGGAGCAACTTTTGTAGCAACTTTGTGTTGCTCTGATGCCCTAGAGCATTATAGAGAAGGGCCTTATTTTATCCTAATGCTTTTCAATTAGCTTGTGTGGGGATATACAATATAAATAGAAAAAGAAATCATGTTACTGTACTCCATTCCGATTTCATTAAGGAACTCCTTGTGGTAACAAAAATCAACAGTAATGACAGGCATCAGAACCTCTGACCAAGTACAGCTGGACACAGATGAATAGCATGAATACATTCATGGAGGACAGGTTCATCAATGGCTATTAGCCAGGATGGGCAGGGGATGATGTCCTTAGCCTCTGTTCATCAGAAGCTATGAATGAGAATGGATCACCTGATTACCAGGGCTATCAGAGTGCAGCTGTTTACAAGAGTAACGGATAAGCATGAGCTTATTGGTTACCTGAACAGTTACACTTGGCTCCAAGGGAGCTGACCACTATCCTGCACAGCTGCCTCTGATATAGTGCAGAGCAGCAGCTGGCTCCCTGGGAGTGGTATGGCAGGTGACAGGCAGTGCACACTGGGAACCGACTTAAAAGCTGGCTCCCAAGGAGCTGGCTGCTGCCCCATGTGTACCCGCTGACATTTTATGCAATTACACTCATTTTAACATCCCATTCTGTTCATTACCTCTGGGACATCTGGCATTGGCAACTGTCACCAAACAGTCTGACCCAGTGTGTCCTTTCTGCTTGTATTGATTTAATTTTACAGAGATATACAGAAATTAAAAACTGTGTGCATCTCCCAGCACTCTACATATTTTGGCACCCATTAGACCTTATTTCATCACCTGGCTGAATTACTAGTGTTAGGTGTCTGACAGCAGTTTCCTTATAATCCGCTCACTATGGTGTTTTAGCTGAGTCATTGAAGCCTGCCTGAGATTAGACTGTATCTTCAAAGGTGCTGCCCAAAGGGAATCTTCTGTAAGAACCATTCCAAGACGGCCATCTGAACAGAGTAAGGCTTAATTTGTTACAAATCAGTCCTGGTGCTTAAAGACAGCTGCATTGTTAAAATGAAGGCAAACCGGTTTTTAGTACTTGGTACAGAAAGTACATTTTACACAGACACATGGTCACTCCCATGAGATTGCTGACAAGGATACAGTCATGCCGTGTCTTACCTCAGTGGAGCCAGTGAAGGCCACTTTATCTACTTCCATGTGGGATGCAATGGCAGCCCCTGCAGTGGGCCCGTAGCCAGGAATGATATTAACCACCCCTGGCGGGAATCCAGCCTGCAAGTTCATCAGCCAAAGAAAACTCAGGTTACTTTATTATTCCCTTTACAAATCAAGAGGCTCCGTAACCATGTCAGTAACACCAATCTCCAAAGCTCTGCCCCCAGAAAATAGGGCAGTGTTGGGATATGTAAAAATTAATAGGGGTCTGAAATGGCTCCACATTAGTGGTTCAGGGGTCAGCCACAATATTAAACTTTAAACATTCTTAGCCAAAGAAAACTCAGGTTACTTTATTATTCCCTTTACAAATCAAGAGGCTCCGTAACCATGTCAGTAACACCAATCTCCAAAGCTCTGCCCCCAGAAAATAGGGCAGTGTTGGGATATGTAAAAATTAATAGGGGTCTGAAATGGCTCCACATTAGTGGTTCAGGGGTCAGCCACAATATTAAACTTTAAACATTCTTTTTCCTTTTTTTTTTGGTGTCATTTAGGAAGATAGATTAAAAGTCCAGTCAAAACCGGTATTATCCTTTCTGCTGTATAAACATGTTCTTTCTCTTCATTCTTGTAGCCTAAGAAACCAGGTAAGTATGGAGTTGCTTTATTTTGTTAAGTCTCTTGCTTATCCTTATTGGCGCTGTATAACATATCTTCAGGGTCAAATTCCTTGTAATCTCTCTAATCTGTTGATTTAGAAAGTTTGTAGTACAGAAAAGTTTTGATTTAATTAGAAATGATGTAAATAGTAATTAGAGGTGAGTATAACTGTATTCATTATTCGCTTATTAATATTCATTTTATGGGAATTAACATTACTAAATAAGGTTTTAGGAAAAGTAGTGATAGACATGTGAATTAACATACTAAAATAGATAAAAGGGTCTGATTAATGCCAATTTGTTGCCACTCAGACATTGTGTTGGACATCCAAGGTAAACATGCGTGAGCAATAAAGCGGTTCTGTTTACTCCATCCACTCCTGGGTCACCAGTTTCTTCTCTAACATGCTTCTCCATCTCACATACATCTTCCATGCTGCAGTCTTCTTAAGCCTTTGCTATAGCACACACTAAGTTAACTGAAGCAAGTCACTCAACTCAGTTTTGATTAGTTAGCCCACTGAAGTCAACTGCAATCGCCCATCCCATACAAAAGCAGCATCTCTCTATTGGGCAGGGACTGGAATGGCATCTAGTTAGGCTACAGACTGGAATTTCTTTAAAAACAACAAAAAACTCCACATCTTTCCTCTCTGGCTCTAGCAACTTTTTGCTCTAGCTGTTCCTCCACTACCATATTCTATAGATTTCTCCAACTTACTCAGGTATGTTACATAGTCATAGCACATTGTACAACCCCTGACTGATGTGCAAGTAGGAGGCTGGGCTAGAACCAGCTTTTTTGCTCACCTCTTTGATCAGATTGGACACATAAAGAGCCGTCAGGGGTGTTTGCTCAGCCACTTTCATCACAACCACATTCCCCGTGGCCAAGGCAGGCCCGATTTTCCACGCCAGCATCAGGAGTGGGAAATTCCACTGTAAGGCACAAGGAAACCTTGTAAGCTAAATTTGAAAACAATGACCCTCCCTTTGAATTCTTTGGACATAAATAAAAGTCTGACAGATCCCCCATTTCTGTAGTTGGCTCATCTCAATTGAAGTCACTTTCCCCAGTTGTGGATCCTGCCCCATGTTTATTTCCCTTCCCATCTGTGTCTTACAAAATCCTGGATTATAAATCTGTGGTTCCTTTCACTATTTCTACCCTTGATTTGTGCACTTGTAAGGGGGAACTGCAGAAGCTTACATTTTTATACAAAAAAGGTGTAAAGCCTTTTTATTGACACTTAAAACAACTTCCTGAAATCTTACCTATATTATTCTGCATTATAGGCCTGATTTCTGGCCTGGTCTCTTTGGCTACATCTATACTGCATTGCTTTTTTGGGATACCGCAACTCATCCAAGGAACGCATCTGCTTTTTCAAAAAATAATTTTGAAAAAGTGGACATGCTTTTTGGCCATTCCTGTAATTTTGAAAAAGTGGACATGCTTTTTGGCCATCCCTGTAAACCTTGTTCTATGAGGAATAAGGGATGCGTTGAAAGAGCACTTTCTTTTGAAATTTGGCGCCATGTAGACACGTCAGATTTTGAAAGTGCCTCTTTCGAAAGTAAATTGGAAAAAGATATGCAATTTGCATGCTGCAAATTGCATATCTTTTTCTAATTTAACATTGCAATGTAGACCTAGCCTTAGAAGTTTTTATTCATTTAATTACTGAATATGTAATCACACACCCCACCACAGGATCCCAGCACTTTACAAAAAGATTAGTTTAGTCTCAACACCCCTAGGGAGCAAAGAGTGTTATTCCCATGTCACAGATGTGGAATGGAGCCACAGAGATTTGGTGGGCCATCTATTTACAAAGCTTAAGTCTAATTTTTGAAAGCTTTAATCTTGACTGCCGGAAACCAGGCCTAGTTCAAATTCGGCACAAGTTAGTTTGCGGTGCATCTGCAAGAGTTTGCCATGAAAAGGCTTGTACTTAATTCATGAACAGATAAGATTCCAGAATTAAAAGTTTATACCCAATTCCTCCTCATTAGTGGGCACACAAAGCATAGTGCCTCACAGCCAGGCTTCTAACATCCGTGTTATGCTATCCATGGAGAAATGTCTTCGCTCCAACAACCTAATATTTATGCCCTATTTTATGTCCACCAGCAATTCATGGAAATAAGACTAGATACAAATGGAAATGAGACTTGAATGAGCTGGGCTCCATTTCCCTATCAGACACAGGCTATTTACTGTTCTAATATTTTGCCTAAACTGGCTTCTATTAACAAGACTAGTAGAGAAAGGGTTTGATAACAGTTTCTGTTCTCCAAACTGTTAGATCTGAGCTGTAAGCGTAAACAAGAGTTAAAATGTTATAATTCACAGCTGAATACACAGAGACTGACTGATAATTACACCAAGTCTGTGTCACTTCTGCCAGAGCAACAGAAAGGGCCCACTTAGCATAATTCCTCTCAGCATTAAAGGGAAATTCTGCCTAGCAGAGGCCAGAAACTTGCATTTTAAGGTCAGCTTCTATGCCAAAGTGCATTTCTGCAGCACTAGGATACATTTTACTTACCGGGATGATCTGTCCACAGATCCCTACTGGCTCATGTCTTGTGTAAGTGAAGAAGTCTCCATCAAGAGGAATGGTTTTCCCATGATATTTGTCAGCCCAGCCAGCGTAGTACCTGACAATCACATTGTTTTAGCCATTGGCTTTGGACAACGTATCTCCTTGTCTAAATGGCACATTAAGTCACCCAAAAATGCCTCTTGGTGACCAAAGAGTAAGAATGTTTACAGTGCAAAGCAACTTTTGTAAAGAAAACCCCCTCCAAGAGCCAGTGTGGACGCTGATGTTTATTTTATCAAGGAAACTGGCTTCTACCTGTATCCCACAATGCCTGTCTTGATGGTTTTGCTCAGTTGTTTTGTGATCTTTGTTGCCCAGCAGGCATGTGCCCCTTCACTTTCAAAGCTCTGGGAAGTATCTAACAGCTGAGAGAGCTGCTCCATTTTGGAGAACAAACTAAAACAGAAAAACCAATGAAATACTGCCATTCTGCCCTGCTAGAAACACAGCAGCAGGCAGACAGCTGCTGCAGGGGGAAGGCTGGAAGGACGGCTGTACTGCTTTGACATTCCTCAGCACAGAGAGCTCACAGAGCTATTCATGATGCTGCTCCCAGCAGCTGGGAATGCGGTGGGAGAAGTCAGAGGGAATCCCAAGTAGCACAGGGATCAGCTCTGCCTGCCCACAACACAGTGCTGTGGGATGCTTACCTACAATGCTTTGCTCTAGCTGTGGACAGGGGAACTAGCAATATGGCCGTGAAACGTCAACAATGGGAGGCAGAAAACCTGTTTTGACCAATTTTCACTTTTGCATGTCGACAGTACTTTTGTCTCCAAACCTTCCCAGTGCAGACATAGTCTAAGAGCAAACCTTTCCTGACATCTCACACAGGGACTCACACTCCGCCAGGCAGCGGTAAGAGGAACTGCAGAGGCATTGTCCCCCATGGGCCAATATGATCTTGTCTGATACACAAAACAACGCACAATGAAGATGTGGGTCAACGGACACTGCTATAAAAAATCTGGCTCTAGATCATGATGCACCATATGCAGCTATATTTGGAATCCAGATAGGGACCACGGCTAAGAACATTTCTTCTCAAACACTGATTTTTAGAGAGACCTGAATGGAAAGCAACAGCACTGGTTACCTGAAACCTTGTAACTATTCAGTGTGTTAGGTGTGAGGAGAGCCCCTTCAAAGGCACCTAGGCCCAGTAATTACTGTAAGCTCCATGGAACGTGAGCCTTTTTTAGCTCCCAGCATGGCATGCCCACTTCTAACTATGGAAACCCACTAGTCTGGCAAGATTGTTTTTTAACAGCCAAAAAAATATCCCTGGCATGCACCTTATCACAGTGAGGGCTGGAAGAGCAGGTTTCATGTTCCTCGATTAAGGACTCCTTGAGCATTCGACAAGGCCACTTTTAGCAACATGCATTCCGCTGAGCTATGCTGCTGAGCTCACTTCAGCTCAAACACTGGACCAGCCCCCAGGACCAGATTCTGCCACTTTAAAACACCAGCACCTCAACACAGACAGGTCTTTAGATACCAGACTCACCTTGCTGTGCATAAAAACAACAGAAACAGACTGTTAAGATCCAGCCAGGCTCACAGTGGCCTATTACACTGAGTTTAACAAGTCTAGAAGTGTCAGATTCGCCAGGGGCATAGAGAGGAGGCAGTGGGGGAGGAGGAGGGGCAGTTGTCCCCGGGTGCCATGCTAGGAGAGCACCAATTTATTCTCCCCTTTCTTCCCAAATCTACATGCCACTGGCTGGAGCCTCCTCTCCACCCTCAGCCCTACTCCATCTCAGCCAGAGGCTTAGTGCATGCAGGATCCAGCCCCAAACTGGAAGGAGTGGGGGAAGATGTGATACAAGTTTCCCCCCCATTCCTCACGGACTCGGGCTCAGCCGTGCTCCAGGTTCAGGGCCCTGGTAGCAGCAGGGGCACAAATTTTGCTTTTGCCTCCGGACACAAAACACCCTCGCTACATCTTTGAGATTCATCAATAGGCTCTTTCAGGGCTAGTATGTGGCTAAAGGAAAGCCAGATCTAGAGATGTACATTCCAGGGCCATGCTAAGGAAGCAACTGACAGCACTAACTTGGCTGAATTGATTAAAAGCGAGAGACACTGGCTTGGGATGCATTTCACCCTTCCACAGAACAGCAGCACAGGACACCCAGTGCCACAGGTCAGACCAAATCTAACCAGCTTGCCCCGTCCTATTACAGCAGCACCCAGACAATTATGCCCACCCCAGGGCAGAATTTGCAGATCTCTAGCTCCCACAGATCAATCAAATGCCAGACTTCATCGCCCTTCCTGCTGTGCCTTCCTCTCATTCTTGTGTGAAGAAAACAAACTCCTACCTGATGCATTTTGTTACCATGTCCAGGTCCACTAAGTAGGAGATGGAGTACGGTTTGCCATTATCCAGAGTTTCCAGCTCCTACAAACAGAGATACAAACTTGTATTTGTAGAGTCCCAGCTCTCACTCCCAGCCACAGCCAAAGATGAGCCAGACTCTGGGTTTGCTCTTTGCGCAGGTTCTGCGTTTAGCTCGTCCTAGCACTAGACACCCCCAGGAGCAGCTGAAGGTAGAGTTGGACAGTCATTTCTTTCTCTCCTCACTGATATGTAAATCACAGTGGCGAGGGAGTGGCAGCCCTTTAGGCTGCAAGGCCCTTCTAGCTGAGGTCACTCCTGCTCCATGCACTGAGCACTCAGTCGAGGCGGAGAAAGGCCCCGTGGGATCTGCAGGATGAGAGGGCTCCAAGCCTGGGCCATTGCCATGACAAAAGGAACAAGTCGTCAGGCCTGATGGCAGGAACGGATCACCAAACAAGAAGAGCGGCTTGCCTGTTTACCCTGCGTGCCCCTCAGTGCATAAGGCGGCAACAACCAGCTCCTCCCACCCACAGTGGCAGCTCCTTTTCACATACACAGCCAAGAGCACAGGTGAGCCTCACTCCCTGCCATCACCTCCTTCTGGACACGGGCTCTAGAACAGCTATTACAGTGGGGTTGGTGAGAGCCATTGCCCTGCACTGTAATCCCTGTGTCTAACGGTAGCCACTTCAAGTCAACAGCAGCACCCAAAAAGGCCTCGGAGACAGCTGAACTACCTCTGGTGCCACTGCCAGAATCCCTCCTGTTTCCAGCAGAACCAGACCAGCCGTGTCCCCCACAGCACTCTTGTCAGACAACAGCCCCCCAGGGAGGAGAAACAGCACACCCAGGGAGCACGATACGCACAGCCAGGCTAACGGTAGCCACTTCAAGTCAACAGCAGCACCCAAAAAGGCCTCGGAGACAGCTGAACTACCTCTGGTGCCACTGCCAGAATCCCTCCTGTTTCCAGCAGAACCAGACCAGCCGTGTCCCCCACAGCACTCTTGTCAGACAACAGCCCCCCAGGGAGGAGAAACAGCACACCCAGGGAGCACGATACGCACAGCCAGGTACGCCCG